CTAGCATATTATTCCTGTCTATCAATCCTATTTTATAGGATCATTTAAGGTATACATAGTTTGCCTTTAAGGACAAAAAGCTTCCCAAGTTGGGTTTGTGTGTGTGGGGGTGTACCTTCAAGTCAGCATTGACTGGCCCAAGGTCACCCCGCTGGCTTCTCCTGGTTTTTGACCTGATACCTTAACCTCCAAACTGGTTCTCTTTTCAAGTTGGTTTGTATAGAATAAAACTAGAACTTTCCTTGGAGTAAATCTTTTCTCCAAAGTTTCAGTCAGTTTTAGTCTTAAATATATTTAATATATTCTATTTATCTTATAGAGAGCCAGTTTGGTATAGTGGTTAAGGTATCAGGCTAGAAGCTAGGAGATTGTGAGTTCTAGACCTACCTGAGGCACAAAGCCAGCTGGGTGACCTTGGGCCAGTCACTCTCTCTCCACTCAAGATGGAATGGAAACTACTTCTGAAATCTTGTCAAGAAAACTATAGGGACTTGTCCAGGTCACATCACTGACTCAAAGGCACAAAATAAAATTATATTATAAATATCTTAAAAGCTAGTGATAGGATCCTGACAAACTTCAGATAGCAAAGTATTCCAGAATTTAGATGCTGCAGTGCAAAAGGTCTTTTAATCAACCTAGTAGTCATCAAGGGAGGACAAGAGAAAAAGGCTTCTGTTTCTATTCCAGATCTTAAAGCGTGGGCAGGTTGAGATTTGGGTGAATCACAGGAACATGGTAAAGAAATGTGAAATACATCAATAAGAGTAAGAACTGAGTGAGATTAGCGTTAGCAGGTTGAACCAGAACAGAAAGTGGTTTTAAATATAGTGTGAATTAGGAACTGAGGAGAGTTTAGGAGAAATGTAGGGAATAAATTGGATTTGTCTATATAAGTACATCCATTGGGATCGGTGCAATAGATACTTGAAAACAGTGCAGTATCTCAGGCCAAGAAGTTAAGTTTTTAATGCTTAATTGGATTTTCAGGTATTTCTTTAAAACATTATCATTTATAAAGATAGATATTTCTATCCATTAAAAACATTCTTGTTTTTTAATATATGCTATTTAAAAAAATACAATATCAGTACAAAATTATGCAGACTTCAAGTCCATTCAGCTCTATGTTAGCATAAGTTGTTAATGGTTAACCAGACCCTTTTGGTTCAGATTATAAAGAGTTTATTTAGCATTCTAATATGTCTTTTTAAACAATTGTGACCTCTGGTGGATACACTGAAATGAACATCTAGAATGGTAGTCAAAGTTATGTGTGAAAAAAGCACTATTGTTCAAGATCTTTCTAAAATGTCCTTTTGAAATAAATCCTAATACTAGTCTAATTACTGAATCACACTATAATGTTTCAATTACAGACTGTTGTATACATTTCAATAATTTCCAATCTGCACATTTTAGCATTGCTGTCTCGTACATAGTGACATAATGAAGTGGAAAATGCAGCCTATTGTACATTAGTCATAGTGATATACAGTATCATTTACACCCATGCTTAGCTCTTTTAGCAGTGAAGGAGATTATACATGCTTTCTTATTATTAGAGACTTTGTTCCACCAATATTATGAATCAAATATACCAAAGAGAAGTGTTAAAAAATACAATGGTAAGTTATCTCTCTCTAATTCAGATTAGCAGGAATACTGCATTTTCAGTCTCAGAATTACAGTTGATCTCAGTATAATATATAGTGATATAAGATGACTAGAGCCTTTAAAAATGACAGTCTTGCCTAAATTCACACCAAATTCATTCCAGGCTAGTTTATAAGAATTAGACTTTAACTAGAAATGTTTTTCAGGCAATGAATAATGAATTCCTTCGGTCATTGTTTAATTATAACAGGTTTTTTGTTTTTTTTACTACACTGTCCATTTTTGCTTGGAAAATTTAATATATTGTGCAGATTCTATCTTTGTATATAACAACAATTAAATAAGGTGATTAGGGATATGGGCAATATGGTGGTAATTTAAGGCATTCCCAACCTGTGCAACAGATGTGCTCCAAATCAGATTTGCTGATTGAATATAGAGCCCTACCAAACAGTATGACATTAGGATTCAAGCAATGTGTTTCTCTTTATAATAAGTTTGATTAATGCAAATGTCTGTCACCTCTGGTATGGCATTGCTGGTACTGGAATAAGTAATGGTGCTAGTAGTGAGCTGTCACAATCTGGAATTCATTAAAGGAAAGTTGGCGCTTTGTGTTATTTTTCCTATTTAGTCTCAAAATTCTGTAACAGGACTCACGTGTCAAACATATTCCCTTATATGTCTGCATAACAGACTTATCAAATTAATATGGTATGTTAAAATAGGTAGTTTGTAAAATAAGTCAGATATCTTGTCTTCAGATTTACAAGCTGTGATATGTGCTGGTCCTAGTTCTCATCTTTTGGCTAGAATTTCATATGTGTACAGATCTATTATCCCCCTGCTGCATCTTAAACTACCGGTTCAAGTATACAAGTTTAATTAGACTATAATTGTTTAGAAAATTGTGCGGTGATAGATATCACAGTTCCAGCAGTAAAAACAGTTCCTATGTCATGGTATAAAAGGTGCGACTTGAAATATCTTACAGATCTCCATTATATTTAACCCTGTGTGATCCCCCCCCCCCTTTTGGTGCCCATGGATATAAGGAGCTGTCCAGTATACTGGATCAAGAAAATGAGCATTTATGTTTATTGTAGATGTAAAGGGCGCATAAATGGTTCATGTAAATGTAGACTTTCACACTCTATGATAATTTACTATAATATTGAGTGAAATAAGTATGAGAAATAAATAACTAATGTGTAAATTACTTCTTATTGTGTATATTTTCTTTGGTTTTTCTATAAATAATTATTTTTAAGATTATTCTGATTCAGAAGATAATACTTAAATACTTTAAAAAGTAGCAAGAAATATTGTATGTATTACAGTGCAATTCTCTGTATTGGGTACTATGGAAAAAACACATTTTCAAACATAGTTTCATTTTTTGCTTTTTTGCTTTTGTTTTTATTAGAATGGGATGAAATTTCTAGATACAGTAGATCTTTATGTTCAGTCCTGCCAAATTTCATATAAATAGATGTGAGGGGTTTCAGTCCTTAAACCTGGCTTTATTTTTAATGCATGATCTGTTTGTTTGGGATGGAAGTCATTAAAATTACAGCAATAATTGTGCCTTACGGGCCACAATTGTGAGGAATATCTATTACATACTGAGGAATTTGGAGACAAAGGGAATAAGTGTTGATAATGAACTATGAATACAGAAAGTCATATGCATAAATAGACTGTTAATGACAGATTCTTAATGATGTGTACAGCAGGGGATAATAGATAATAGATCTGTACACATAATAAGCAAAAATAAGCAAAATTATATGGAACAAATCTATAATAAAATCAAATAATAAAAAAAATTACGAGCGTATTGCTAGATATACTGTTATTAAACAGCTGCAAGTCACTGAAATCCAATATTCTATTATTCCTTTGCTTCCAACTAGCTGTTGAGGAAGAGGCTTCTGTAAAGGTTTAGGTGATACTCAAACTGAATTAAATTGTTCCTGTTTTATGAGGGGCCTTAAATATCTATTCAAATTTTAAAAATTGTCCAAATGGATAAAATTAACATAATTATAGCTGCTTAAAAAAAAAAGACAGAATGGATCCAAAACACTTTAATACTCATATGCATAATTTGCATATGGCATGCTCCAGAGCGGAACTGTGCTCATTTTGGCTCTGTGTCTGTCAAGAGAGGCTCCTGACATTATTGAGTCTACAAGGACATCCCTACAGACACTAGGCAGTAATGAATATACTTAGAAGCAAACTGCTGTCTGTCTGACCTCAATAATTCATGGCTGATCATCACTCAGCTGGTTTATTGAAAGGTGCTCTATATGGGTCTCCCTTTGGAGATAACCTGGAAGCTGCAGTTGGTACAAAGTGCAGCAGTAAGATTATTGGCAGGTCTGACCCACAATTTAGAATTAGACCTAGGCCCAGTTCAAAGTGCTGGCCTGCTGAAAGTTCTCTCCCATTGTGAGGTTAATGGGATATGAGGGTAATGAGATACAGGTCTTTTCTGTAAAAAAACCTATGGTATGGAATACCTTCCCCTAGAAGTACATGTAGCCCCCACCTTGCCACAATTCCATAAACAAAACGATTTTATTCCAATGTGCTCTCAGTCCCAGCTGATGACTGTGGGGGCCTGTGTTGCATTTTTTCTTGGGTGTTTGCTTTGCTTTTGTGGTTAATTTTTGTTTTTGATTTTGACTTAGTTATGTTTTTCTTTTTGCTTGATGTTGTACACAGCCCAGAGTTCTTCAGGACTGGGGTGGGTTATAAGTGCTTTAAAGTAAAATGAAGAAACCCAAACATAAATATTTCAGGGAGTTTTTAACATTCAAGATGAATTGGGTTGGGGTTTTTTTGGGGTGTGTGTGTGAAACAGTGGAACACATTAATTTTCTCTGTAATATATTGTATCTCATAATTACTGTGCTGCATCAGATTACAATGAATCTGATGAACCATGAATTACACGAAAAAGAATAAAATTTTATAGGTGAATATATTTTTTCTTATACATAATTATTTTTGTTTAATTTACCACTTGGTGTCACTGTTCTTCACAATGTCTTTCTCCTACATGCTAAAAGTAATACAAAAGCATAACTTCTGTATGCCCTTAGGATCTTCTTTAAAGATATGAAAATATTTAGAGTAAAAATAAAATTTATCATCTCAGAAACCAATATGCTATTTAAAGTACATGACAATGCAATTTTTCCAGCTTTTAAAAATTTTCATACATAGTAAGTGTTCTACAATATATGAGGTCAGGTCACTTCATATATTGGACTATCTCAATTATAATTGCTACCAAAAATTATTGTGTTTGGATTGATAAGAGGACACCCCAGGTATGATTTTGTTCTCCCCCTGTATTTCTTTTTAAACAGGTCCTGATTGTTCTTTGAATGTTCCCTCAATGGAGTCATATTGGATTCTGCCTAATGTGAAGCCATTTAGTCCATCTGTAAGCAGGGCTTCCCATAAGGCAGTTCTGCATGGAAAGTTGATGTGGGTAATTGGTGGATACGCATTTAATTACAGTACCTTCCAGATGGTATTGAAGTAAGTTATTTCTTTCCTTAGTTGTATTTGTATTACTTTTGTGTACATTTGTTAACATTTAATGAAAAGCATTCCTCTCTCATATACCTGCCTTGCTTTCATGGCTGCCTCATGGTTCAATTGAGAACTTCCAGAAAAAGAGATGATTGAAAGTGAAGTTCTGTGGATTCATGGGCTAATTGGGGGTTTTTCTCTGGGATGGCAGGGCTGTTTGCTTTCACTTATATTTGGCTTATATACATGAATTTTATAAAAAAAATTATAAAGCTTCAGAGTTTTCTCCCTTAAATGATGCAAAGCTCTGCAGTAGTACTGCTGGACCTATTTCTCCTTAAGGAAGTGGAGACTGCAGAAATCCAGGGACTCACTCATAGAATAAGCAGATATGTGTCCAAATATAGCAAGACTGATCTACCCCATTTTGGAATTTGCCTCATTTCTAAGACTTCCTTTGGCAGTCCTGCTACCAATATCTGGAAGAGACTTCTGTGCGTGTGCAAAAGCATTTTCATAGATGAATGTCCACCTACTTCACCTCTAAAATGTGTGAAATTGTTCATAGAGTTCAGTATTTATCCTGCAGAATCATAAATATTACATATGTACTAGCAAAATTATTTCTACCTGAAAAATGGAGACCTGAACTTGTACAGGGGGACACACCGCAGGTTTCACTCTAAAGGAATGAAGGTAAAGGAAATCAGGAACAGGTCTGGGCCTTAGAATTTGAAGGAAATCTGCTCCACTGAGAGAGGCCTGAGAAAAAAGGCTTTATTTTGCATTAATTAATTAATTAATTTCTTTGGGAGTTGCATTTGACTCCCCACCTTCTTAGTGTTCAGATTATCTGTAAAGAGACATTTCTTTCACCTGGATTTTAATTACAAAATTGTATTAATTTTAATTTATGTCCTAATATTTTGGATTTTGTTTTTTATAATTTGAGTACTTGATTGACCAAATATCAAAATTGTGTTGTGCTTAAAGGTTTGCCCCTTCTGGGAGGAACATTAAATACCTTTAACTTCAGTGAGAAACAACTTGGCCTGGCATTGTCAATGTCAACTGATGGCTTTTTTGACAATGCTTTAATGAAAATGAACTGCCCCACAAAAGAAATACCTGCAACTTTCAGAGAATGCTCACCTCATTATTAAGGACAAGCCATAAACCCATTGAGAATAATCAGACACTCAGTAATAATCAATTGAAAATATTGTTTGAAATGTTATTTAATGTTTAAAAGTGTTTTATTGGTTAAAAATATTGGTGCGGTCAGGAGAAAGTTGCAAAAATAGGAAAATTTAAATTCTAATTTATTATATTTATTAGATGTTATATTAGGAAGAAACAGAAAATGATACCTTAATTTGTAAGAATATATAAGCCTAGAATTTGCTTCCAGGTAATAAACTATTTATCTATTCATTTTTTAGCTATAATTTGGAAAGCAGCATCTGGAATGTGGTACCTATATTGAAAGGACCTCTTCAGAGATATGGACACACTATTGCTTTATATCAGGTTTGTTCTATTCAGGATTGAGTTTGAAAGCTTCTATATTATTATTATTGTTGTTAGTTGCACAGTCAGCCAGTTGTTTAGACTGGATTTGGCATTTTTATCCACCTATCGAAGAAGTTAATATCAAGGGAGGAATCTTTTCAAGGAGGCTCACTATCATCACTACTGTTTGTCACTGCATTGATTCCTCTGTCAACAATACTGAACAAGTTAGGCCATGGCTATCAAACATCAAAAACATCTACCAGGCTATCCCACCTCCTTTACATGGACTATCTGAAGCTGCATGGAAAAGCACCATCTGAAATGGAATTGCTGCTCATCACTGTCCATATATACACCAAAATATTGTAATGGAGTTTGGATTGGACAAATGTGCCACCTTTACCATCAACAGGGGAAAAATAGTGAAAACTGAAGGAATCAAGATGTCCTATGGAAATCACATGAAGAGTCTGTATGAAGATGATCATTACAGATACTTGGGCATCCTTCAAGCTGACAACATCAAGCACACTGAAGAAGAAGGTTAGTAGTGAATACATCATGAGAGTGAAGAAGATCTTAAAGTTCCACTTCACAGGAGGAAATACCACCAAGGTGATTAACACCTGGACAATTCCAGTCATTAGATATACAGCTGAAATAGTGCACTGGACTCAAGCTAAACTAAAAGCCCTGCATAGGAAGACCAGAAAAACAATGGCAGTGAATCATGCCCGTCATCCCTGCACCGACATTGACAGACTCTATTTACCATGGGGCATAGATGGGCGTGGAATGTTGCAAGTACACTAGACAGTTGAAGAAGGAAAAAGGACATTAGAAGAAGTTGCACTGAAGATAGTACAACATGAAGACTTACTGAATACCAAAGAGACCAAAATGGCCTACAAGAAACACCAAATGAAAAGTAGAAAAGAGACATGGCAAGGCAAAGTATTACATGGCCAGTACACAAAAAACTAGCAGGCAAGGCAGATACCAACTAGACCTGGCAATGGCTAAGAGCAGGAAAGTTGAAGAAAGAGATAGAGGGGCTAATTCTGGCTGTACAAGACCAAGCCTTAAGAACAAATGTCTACTCAATTTTGGCTTTGTATACAACAACAGACAGCAAATGCTGCCTCTGCAAAGAAGCTGAAGAAGCAGTGGACCACCTAGTTAGCTACTGCAAGAAGATTGCACAGACTGACTACAATGGCTTGACAAAGTAGCAACAAAGGTGCATTGGAATATCTGCAAGAAATGCCATTTGCCTGCAAGCAAGAACTGCTAGGATCACAAAATAGACAAAGTAATAAAAAATGAAGAAGCTCTGGGATTTTATAATTCAAACAGACAAGCTCCTGCCACATAATACCCCAGACTTAACAACTGTTGATAAGAAAGACAAAAAACTCTGGATAGTGGACACTGCAATACCTGGAGAAAACAGAATAGAAGAGAAAGAACTGGAGAAAATCACAGAATACAAAGACCTGCAAATAGAAATAGAATGACTGTGGCCAAAGAAAGCAAAGATAGTACCAATAGTAATAGGTGCCTTGGGTGTTTTCCCAAAACCTCTGGAGCACCACTTGAACACCATTGGCATGGACAAAATCACCATCAGTCAATTGCAAAAGGCAGCTTTACTTGGAACAGCTTGCATCCTGAGACAATAACACCATCAAACAACAACATCTGCCTATCCCAGGTCCTTAGGAAGGACTCGATAGATGGATAAAAATGCCACATCTAGTCTAAATAACTGGCTGACTGTGCGACCAACAATAACACAAGTACTGCTACTCAAGAGTCAGGCAATCTCCCTTGCTCCAAAGATTTTTTAAAATTTCTTTTATCTAACAATGAATGGAGAAGTGATTGGGTATATATGAAAGGGGTTTATTAAATAGTGTTATGAATGCTGTTATGAACAGTGTTATGAATGCTTTCATATATACCTAGTGCTGTGCACTATTTTTTAAAATTATTTTTGGATTCTGTAGGGTAGAGAACTAGAAAAAGAATGATGTTGTGATGCTTAGCTGAAGTTTTCCTCCTCCTCCTTCGTCTTTCAAGAGTTGATTACTAACTGTTTTAGCCAGAACAAGTTAGGTGTTAAGAAAACTAGAGGTGTGTATCTCCAAGGTGGAATAAAAATCTGTATTGGACCCTCTGGGTACTTCTGTTTCTTACCCCTCTTTTCTAATTGTGCCTTACAAATATACATGCATAAAAAGGAGTAAGGAATAGTTTGCAACAGTAGATGAGAAAAACAGTGAGATGAGAAAAAGGGTATTGCAATTGTTCACTCCATTTTGTTTATTTACTTGTTTACTAGGTCTTTATATGGAACTCCAGTGCAGAATGACTGTGAGCAGCTTACAGTCCCCTTTTTATTAAAATTAACATAATAAAACAATGTAACAAAAGACCAAACTAACAATTTTAAAGAAGACTCTAGCCTCTGAGGAATAATAAACGTCCAAGCACAATCCAAACTGAGGCCAGTTTATACTAGATCCTCTCCCAGGGCTCTCTTATAAAGCCATGGTTTATGGCTTTCCTAAAACTCAACAGATTGGGGACTACTCTCTTCTTGGGAGATAAAGTATTCCAAACTAAACTAAAAATGATTGATGCTTTGGGCCCTATAGATTACAGTTCCTAAGATATAGGATGCAAAGTGAGCCTACCATACTTGATCTTATTTGATAGGCAGACACACTGGGAGTAAACAGTTTCACAGACATCTAGACCCTGAGCTGTGTGATATCCAGCCCCTTGAATTGCACCTGGAAGCCAACCAACAACCAGTGCAGTTCTAGCAGTAGGGGTGTTACCTTGAAGAACTTGGCATGGATGTCACTACTTGAATAGCTGTATTTGGACCAGTCGAAGTTTCTGGATGGTTTTCAAGGGCAGCCCCACATAGAATGAATTTGAAGCATTCCATTTATTTGCCATCTGCTTTACTTCCATCGTATACTATCCTTGGTGCATTCAGCATGAACTTCCAACTCAGTATTTACTCAAAATATTCCATAATCCAAGCCTGTTCATTTTTACATGTGCATTTTCTAAATCAACAAACATATAATACGTTTCTTTCTGTCATTCTTAATGAAAAATATTTTCCTCTTGATTGCATTCATTGTCAGCCTTGTGAGGTAGACAAGACAGGAAGCATGGCCAGATGAACTAATTCTACTTTATCGTATCGTAGGTTACATTAACAGAATCTTGCAAGTCTGAAAGTACTTTTCTCCCCCATCCCTTTTATAGCCCAGAAACTAGGGATGGTCCCTTCTGAGCCACTTGCCCCACCCACATTCCTGCTGTAGGCTAAGTTGCCTTTTATCTGACCATTCCCTTAGTTGCCTCTCTTCTCCTTATCTACCAAGGTCATTCCCACATACTGTTACATTCATTCAGAATCTTGCATACTTTTGCAAATCCCTGTACCACTTTCAGTATAAATGGAATGCTTTGACTCCCACAGTCTAACTTTCCTGCAAACTTTATCCCATTCTATCAAAAAACGGTTGTAGTAATTTTGTGTTTTTCCCACATTAATAAACAGTAGAATTATACCTCCTTTTAACAAATTTTCTTCATATATGGACAATGAGTTATGTGGAGTCCTTGGTGTTTTCTGAGCTTGGTTGTTTGATTGCATATGTTTCATTACCTGACTAAGTAACGTCACCAGTGCTAGTTAATCAAGCAGACAAACAATCAAGCAGAAGACAATGCCCTAATCAAGGAACTACCAAGGAGAAAGCCACAACCCCACCAACACTGGCAGGGCAAGCTACTGTATATAAACAGAGAACAAACCCCACACTCAGTAGCACTGATAATGTTACCTAGTCGGGTAATGAAACGTCTGCAATCAAACAACCAAGTTCAGAGAACATCAGGGACTCCACAGTTCAATCCTGAGCTTCATATATTCTCTTCTATTGGGACAATGAGTTAGTTGAGATTAACACCCTCCCCAAAGATCCATCTGTTTCCAGAACTCTTATTGACCTTCAAAGCAGATCAGAAGGTTTCTGCACATCATTAATGTAAATCAATGTACTGTGAAAGACTGAAGATAATTATATATAAAAATGATATGACTCTATCTACTAGTTAACAGTAAAAATATCTCTGATGAGCAAGGAGAATAGACTAATCTTGATTTATAGATTTGTCATTGTCTATATTGTTGCATGGTCTGAAATTCTTAAAAAGGATGCCTGGTACTGTTGACTTGAACAATGCTGATCACCTGCTGGAAAGAGAGGATGGTGGATGCAAATAAGTACCATAATCAAATTGTCATTATTCTCAGCAGATAGAATTAGTCCTGTCAGAACTGATAGCACCATCTGTTAGGTGTCCATATGGCAGCATAGTATGGTTCACGTGCTATTAGGTATTACATTCAGTTGTTCTCTTTTTTTGTATTCTTTTGCATCATACTTCTGTATTGAAATCCTGGAAGAAAATATGGACACTCTGTTAGCATTGTTTTCTGGATTGTAACAATCCTTTAAAAGGGAAAAATCATTTCCATTCTGTTTCTGAATGGAAAAGACTGGAAAACAGCCAAATCTCAAACCACAATATGATTATTTATAAAATCTTTTAAATGTTTTTTCTAATCTGCTAAGTTTCAATTTATTGATTTAAGTTATAATGATGTAAGAATAACTGATTTTAAATTATTTTATTTAAAAACATTTAATATGTATTTAAAACAATTGTTGCAGCAAACATAACATTTCTTTCAATTAGAATTTGTTTGGTAGTTGGAGACTGATGGTATGACTTCCAGTCATCTGCTACTTATCAACATAAAGACTATTGAGCATAGTTAGGAGTAAGAGAAAATGAATCAATAATTTTGTCTGCTTGTATTAATCTATTGCCTCTGTGGAGTTTGACTGTAATGATTCTGAGAAGCAATGACATCTTGAAAAACTCAGGACTAAGACTGTTGGTTCTAAGCATTTCCAGTTGTGTAAATAAAAAATATTATACAAAGGAAGGATTATTTCTCAGAGGGTTCTTACCATAATATAATTTTTACAGATTTATAATTTATTTACCAATAATGTTTAAAAAGCAAAGTAAATCTGAAGTATATTCAGTTGTAATCTATAGAAGATATTCAAATAGTAATTATGTTGATATTAAAATGAAACTACAGGTAGTCCTCGCTTAACAACCCTAATTGGGATCAGCAACTCTGGCCCTAAGCAAAGTGGTTGGTAAGTGGGAAATCATGTGACCACGACTCTGCTTTCTGGCTGGAAAGAGACAAGATTGCTCAGTTTCACACCTTTGGCTTTTGTTTGTCCCCTAACCACTCCCTGCCCTTTGGAATGCTCGAGTGCCTGTACTCGAGTCTGTCTAGTACTGTCTTGTACACGTTGAACGCAATGTGATCACGCTGGCAGCCCAGGGCTGAAAGCTGGGAACATGCTACGCAAACAGCCTACTCTCTTGCAATCCTTTACTCTCCATTCACTCTCTTCTGCAAAAGGGGGAAAAGAAGAAAATTACAGATCAGGCACAGGACACGGTGTACTAACTGTAAAGGTGATCACATAACTGAGAGCTGCTGCTAAGGTCTTAAATATCATAAATTGGCCTAACATTTTTTTAGCACCGTTGCAACTTCAAACAGTTGCTGAATGAGTAATTGGTATAATATTGTATAAATGCAATATTTATTACTATTTTGCAATGTAGAGGTTTTACAGGAGATGTCAGGAGAGGACTTTAAAAGAGTAACATGAACAAGATACTATAGTGATTTGTAAAGAACATTCATTTATGGTGGTACAAAGCACATTTTTAATGTACTAAAAATTTTTGCGATGATTGTAATATACATTGAGGGAAGACAATAGTATCAAAATGTTAACGGCAATCATGTTTTGTGAAGAAAACAGAATGATCATTCTGCCTCAGAAAGAAAAGTTCTTGCTAGTTTGAGCTAAAAGGGGAGGATTGGAAAAGTCAGTAGAACAGGAATCCTAGGACATGAGGAAGCTCGGGACAGCTTGGCTTAAAAAGGCTATCTGAGGCCATTTGAGCATGTAAGGCTGCTTTTTACAACTGGAGTACAGGGCAATAGTCTAGTACTGTCTGAAAGCGTTCAGGTTTAAAAAGAAAAAAACCCCACTATTTCCCACCCAAAGGTTATTCTGGTTAGGAACAGAACTCAGAACTGAGTGAGGTAAGGTTAGGAAAGAAAAGGGCTAGTGAAAAAGTGGAATATTGAGAAGCTAATATTATGCAACCAGTATAATATTAATTACACATATATTAATTTTCTCTAGATAATTGCCGAACCAATAACCTACTCTGAAATTTATACACGTGAGCTGTTAGAAAGTATTTACAGTGAAGGCTGCACCAAGGTTCCTTTGTAATTTATGGTTATATGCTGATTTTTTAAAAAGCAACTATATCATAGCTCATTAATCAATACACCTTGTAATTGGTTTGTCTTTAGTACAGTAAATTCTTGCTGGAAAAAAAAATGGAGTCTTTTCGAGTTTTTTCTAAGAAGCCACAGAAATAAGGCCCGAAAGTGGGGAAAACCATGGATTTAGCCATAGTAGAACAATGAGTTAGCTATAAATATTGGTCTGTACAACATTTCTCTTAAATCCAATTGAAGATATAAAGCAAGTTAAGCTAAAAAATCAGGCTGTCTTCTGTGATTGTGTTAGCATTTTTATTCACATTTTTGGTTATTCACTTAAAATCAGTCAACAGCCGTTAAAGCTTATTTTTTCCACAAGACTATTTTCTGTGTAAATTGATTGTATTATCAATATACAATTCCTTGATAAGTTAAACTGATAAATGAAGTACAAGTGTTTTGATTTTTCTTCGTTGATAATGGTATCAATCTTTCACACTTTTTTGTGCAGCCACAAAAACTGCTGCAAAAAGATGAAGATATATAACAATTCTATTATATTTACACTGGAAAGAATGATATTTAACCTGTTTCTAGTCTCACACTGTGAAAATCTTATGTTTTTAATAACCTACCAGGACTATCCTATGTTTGTTTTGGAAGATGTGGAGGACAAATTCATGATGAAATTTGTAATTGTTGTAGCAGTAGCAGCAGTAGCAGTAGCAATAATGATAATTATAATAGTAATAATAATGATTTTATTTACAAAGACCAAGACACCAAATATAATAATCAAAAATAAAATGGGAAATTAACACAGTAAGAAAAAGAAAAGAAAGAATGAAATGAATTGCAAGCCATCTAAATAGCAGTAAATTAAACAATAAAGAATTTCTGGAATTAAATTTAGAGTCTTCTTACGGCAGTCACAGAAAATTTTATATTTCTGTAGGCTAGTCTGTTAAGTAAATTACTGTAAAGTGTTCTTATCAGGCCCACCAAAATGGTTGATTAGTAAGAGTGTTATTAGTTCAGAACACCAGAACAGATACAAAAGGTGATACAGACCAACCAACCTGCCTGGTATGGGACATATATCATCTTGTATTGGTATATTATTAAACCTGCCCTTTAAAACCATAGATAGCAAACACTGAGTTTGAGTAGTAAAAATACTCTGCTATGTTTTTCAGGAAGATGGATAAAAGTAATTGATGGATAAAAATCTTAAAAACTGTTCTGATAAACTATATAAGTTCACAGGGCTATATTTTAATTGTTGACATATATAACTTGGGCTGAAACAAAGTCAGGGAAAATATTGGTATGCTGTTTATTAGAATTGAAATAACTAGAATGGATTTACCAGGCCTATTGAGTATTTAGCATTCAACATGAAGAATGGGGTATAAACTAATATACAAGTCCATGTCATTTCCACTACGCAAAGAATTATATTATCACAAGTTCAAAGTTTATTGTTTGTGTGTTTTGTATTTTATCTTAAGTTTAACTAATAATCATTTCCCCTTCTTTAAAACAGGATGATATTTACATGTATGGAGGCAAAATTGAAACAAATACTGGTAATGTCACTGATGAATTATGGATTTTCAACATTCCAAGTCAGACTTGGAGCACCAGAATTCCAGCAGTGCTTGTTCATGGCCAGCAATATGCAGTTGAGGGTCACTCAGCGCACATAGTGGAGCTTGACAGCAGGGATGTTATCATGCTTGTGATTTTTGGTTACTCTGTAATATATGGCTATACAAGCAGCATTCAAGAGTATTACATCAGTAAGTTGACTTTCTTTTTTTAAAATTATTTTATTAAAACTTTATGATGCAAACTAAAAGAAAGGGAAAGATATGCTAAACTGTACTTACAGCTACCAACCTGGTATTTTTTAACCTATTACAGATGTGCATCATTCAGTTTGGATAGGAATTCTAATATGGGAATTAATGAGGGTTTTAAATCCTCCTCTTCTGTTAATATGGACTACAGTTCTTGCTCTTTCAGTTTGTATTAACAAAAATGATCCATGTGTTTTAATAAAGCACAGTCAAAGCTGTACTAACCTTGAAAAAATGAAAAAATAACATTCCACATAGGAAATGCCTCTTTTAGGGCAACTTTGAAAAAAAAACCAGTTATAAATACAAAAGTTATTAAATGTTTTTATATTAAATAAATTGTACCAATTACATTTTTGTAAGGAAATTGCTGCCACAGAATCTCTCAGTTTCAATTAGAATATCAGCGAGAACGAACCATTATATCCCTGGATCTGGTTTCCTATACTTGTTTATATAGTTTTGTCTTGAGAGGGAGAAAAAAAAATCAGTAATTTAAACATTGTTTTTGGCCTAATATCAATTTCCTCTTCTGATCAACTTTCCTGCAGATATCTGTGGGAAACACTGGTAGTGGTAAATAGCTGGGGAAAGTTGCTTGATTGCGGCATCTTATACATTCAATAAGTAAATACTGAAGTGTGGATGAGTTTGACAAATAGGACAAAGTTGCATATTTTATCCATTTTTTTAAAAATTACACTTAACTAATTGTGATAGGGATGTAGATGTTAATTTTAGAAGTTACATGAAAAGGATATCCTTGATGCAAAGTGAAGATTATTTTCACAAAGTAGCTTAGAATTAACCTGTGTGAATAATGTACAAACAGGTACTTTCACAATGACAGTTGTGAAAAAAGCTCTCAGAATAGGATGCCTTAAAATTAAGTTCCATGAAAGCCATGAAAAATCCTTCATTCAATCCTTTTTTGGAAATATATGCTTAATATTAATATTACTGACATTAAACTGTTGGTTCCACCTCCTTTACTTTCTGAAAATCAGCTTTCACCCTTGATTTTAATGCCATTCAAGATAGTATTTGAGGGTATAAATTGTGTTTTTATGAATGAATTGATACTGTACAATTTTGAACTCTGCAGTTTCACTAAAATCCAGCAGGATGCACTGCTGTACCATGTTGTTCACTTCTGAGCTCATAAAAAATAATTTTCAGTAATTTACTGTTTTCTTCCAGACAACAAATTCTTTTTTGGTTATAATAATACTGAAGTGCATTGTTCTGTAGTTGGAATATGAGCAATATAGGTATTAATTAGTAAGCTTACAGTCTCCAACGGGGATATAAAGAATTGTGTTTCTTTCTAAAGTTCTTTGGTATTTAATTTTTTTAAAAATTGTGCATAGGATTCTTTAATCTCTAATTGATAGCTGCAGTATTTATATCAATGAGTCATATGTGATTCATTTTTAAGTAAGCAGGGTTATGACAGTAGCTAGTAACAATAACTATAATTTCAACTCCAGTTATTATGCTTTTTATAAAAATGCAATGGGCTAAAAACTAGCAATTGCCTGTTCATTAGCCGGATTTTCTTCTTTTTGTTCCCAGTCATTGCCTGAATGCTATAGTGCCCTAATTTTAGATATAAGAATAGTGAACAGCAACAAATAAACTGCAGTTTCTAGTGAAGCTGAGAAAAAACTAAGGTGACAAGGGATTTGAGTATAGGCAGGTAAGGTATTGAGAAGCAGGAACATCAGAAGAGTCCTGATGAAGCAGACCAGAAATTCTTATAATCAAGCATTTTGCATCCCCCAGAGGCCAAATTAGATGCCTTTGGATGCTCGTAAGCATACCATGACTGCTTTCTCCTAGTGTTGCTCACTAGCATCTGTTATTCACTTGCGTATTATCCCTGAATGTGAAGATTCACTCTGTCCATCAAGAATAATGTCTGCTGTACATATTCACCATGAATTTGCTTCCCTGTATTTCCTTTTAAGTGACAAGCTGCATATTAGGTTAAAGACATAGATTGGAGCTATGTATCTATCCATTTTTTTCTGGTGTGTGTATGTGGGAAAATAAGAGAAAGTATGATATTTGCAGTGAGATGCTTATCTGTGCAAAGAGATTATTCCTTCTCAGCGATGGTTTTAAGATAATTCCCCTACTCCCAATTATGGAACTGAAACAAAACGTCCCTAGTCATGCCCATAGTGGTAAATTGGGGAAATGATTGATTACACTGCAGCTGGAAAAGGACGCCTTAGCTCTGTGGAAATAAAAACTGATTCTTCAGTTGTTAAAAGAAAAAGAAAAGCTTCTTGCTGCACTTTTAATGTAATACACAGGCGGGCAACATGCAGCTCGTACATTCTCTTTTTATAAGTCCTGTAGCCTATCCAACTGAATACTAAAAGCTGATAGCACTGTTTGCTGTCATTTTCAGGTGTAATATAAGCCCTTAGTAATATTTCTGAGATAAAGTGTGTTGATGTTAAATGATGAATTGTATCATTAAGATAAATATATTATGCTCAAAATCTATTACGTAGCCTTAATACTAGTGAGATGTATAATTTCCAACAATGTTAACATTGGATGCATTTTTTTGGAGTACAAGTCTAACATTCTCACTGGAATTCTGCACTTGAAGTAGAAATACTAGACCTGTTAATTCTTCCATGGCAGACAGAGTTGAACTCTCATACAAAGGCTAAAGATGTACAGTTTTTAATGTGCCAGGATTGTATGCTTAAAAGTGATGTGGAAATGCTTTCAACTTTAGTATCTCTCTGTTGTTCATTAATGCAGACTGGCTTTTTTGGGGTTTTGTGGTGAGCCTGCGGGGGGAAAAAAAAGTTAATATGACTCTTAAAACAATGGCAACTTTTTTTCAGGCTCATACAGAAGCCTTAGAAGAGTTGGACTGCTTTAATGAATAGTAGACAGGTCTGCATTCACATACAGCATGAAATGCTTCTTCTGAATCATTTTCAGAGCATGCATAGCTCTATTGTGCATTGCTAAAATATAAATAATGAAAAAAGAAGAACAACATGAGAATCATACCACAAGTAACTTGTTACTGTGGCACTGTAGTGTTCATTAATAGTTAACATTGTGAAAATTATATTTCTAAGTATAAAGTCCTTGGAGGAATTCCAAGCAACATTATATGGAAGATATATGGTTGGCTAAATTAGCTTCTGCTTCACTTAACAACTGAAATGAAAATTTCATTGTCTATTGAATAGTTTATTACTGATGCTATAGTTGAAATCCAGGACTTGATTCCACTTTATAACTTCCTTAATAAATAAACAAATATACATATATATATATGTTTTTTTATATATAAAACAATTTGTAAAGTAGATTCTACTCCAAAGCACATTTTAATAAACTTCAGTTCATGGCTTTAAACTGTTAGTAGTGGGAATTTTTTTTTGCATAGTTAGCAGTTATTATTATTCAGGATTAATCTCAACTGTGTATATTTCTTTATAGTGATAATAGACTGTCAGCATCAAATATTAATCACGCTAATACTGGAAAGTAGATTTTGCCATTGTGAGAATTGTAGCTAGGAGTTCTTTTATTACCAGGGCCATTGGATTTTTTTGTAAGCATTCATTTGTTTTACAAAGCTTTAGTTTGCAGAATCTGGTCTTTACTTTGTAGTTTATTTTCTGAGGTTGATCATTTTATGTTTCATTTTACTTCTGTAGTTTTATTCCATGAAGGGTGAGTGCATTTTGTAATATGTTTTCCTGAATTCCTGTACAGGATTTATCTCTAGACCTGCAGCAGTAGGATTATTTTAAACTTTAAAATTCCAGATGGTGACTCTAAATACAAACTGAGTTTTGGAATGAAGCAACACAGAAAGCAGATTGGAAAAATCTGAATAGTAATATATATTGTTATTATAAAATGACAGTTTTATCCTGTTAAGAAAATGAAAATCTTTGAAAAGGAATTATGCTCTTCATTTTAAATCCCACTATTATTGTGTTACAGTTTTGAACTGGAATTCTTACCCCTTATCTTAATAGTGTAACTTTGTATATGTTTTCTTTCATAAAAATGATTTATTTATTTGAGTTTTATACTGCCTCAATTGCATTTGACTTTTAAGTATTTCCCAAGTCAAATAGTATAAACAGTAAAATCAACAATTCAATAAAGAACAATACATTGTTGTACAAATACAAAAATGTATCCTCATACAACATTCATTCATGGCACTGCATCTCTCTCAACAGTCTAGTCCTACACAGACTTTGCAGAATAGCCAGATTTTCTTTCTGGAAGATCATGTGGGTTGGGACCACCTTTGTCTCCAGGGATAAGATAGTCCATGAGTAGAAAGCCTGCAAAGAGAATGTCTACTTACATGTTCCTTCCTGCCAGACATCCCAGTAAGGAGGGACTCTCATTAGGCTTTCTGTTTGGATACATTGGATGGGTAGATCCTATCCAGAACAAGCATATAATGATACCCAGATCCTAAGGCTTAAGCACTCTGAATTGCAGTCGTAAACAAACTGGTACCCAATGCAGCACCTGTAACAATGATGTGACATGACAATCATAGGTCTGACCCATAAACCCACAAATAGCCCTATTTGTACCAACTGTAGTTCATGGTGGTCTTAAAGACAGACTCCTATAGGGTGAATCACACTAATTCAGTTGATAACAAGGCATGACCAACTGTCCTCTGTTTCCTATGTTCTAGAAAGGGTCACAACTAGTATATTAGTAAAAATTGGACAAAGGCCTTTATGGCTGTGGCCTTCATCTGCTTCTCAAGAGGGAGCTGTGAGTCCAGGAAATTTTCAGGTTGCAAGCCTGTTCTTTCAAGAGGAGCACAACCTCTTCAGGGGCAGTTGATACAATATACTAGAATCAGTACATTTATGAATTAATAGCAATGCCACACTATTCAGGCTGAGTCTGAACCT